TGTAAGCTACACCAGACACTATCTTTCGTATTTTTGTCATCTCTAGCAAAACATTACAGCAAAACTTTACATTGTAATGAAATTTAAAATTTTATTACAAAACTTTTCTGGCCACAAAAGCTCATATTCGTCCACTCACACGTATAATGCAAACATCTATGTCTGTTATATAGTCATAAAATTAAAATACAGAATAAAGAGAGACAGAGGGTACGAAAGACTTGATGAGCTTTGCTTAATAAGATGCAAAGGAAGTAAATTGTGGAATTTGAGCATGTTTGTTGAATACCTTTAATTTTGATGGATATGATATTGCCTAGCCGAGCCAAAAAATATGACTACTTAAGAAACGATCCTTTTGGGTATCGAACTTTATAAAGTTGTATCTGCCAAGTGCGATAGTAAGATCTCTGTGGCAAAATGGTTAAGCAACATGCTAAAATCTGAAACTGTCTTCAATTAGAAGGCGTAAGTTCTATTCCCCTTTTAGATCAATCTTTGTTCTAATTACGTTACATGCCTGATTTAAATTACATACTGTTGGGAACAGTGCAGCCCAACTTGATGCAAATTAGGTGCCAGACAAATTTATGTCCACAACATTTCAAATGGAGCCTGTTCAAGTCAATGCTCATGATATAACAGTGTTTAGCTTCCATAGCAGAAGTATTTTCATCCAATTCAACTTTCGGGTCAATCATAGCTTCTATTTTGAGCTTCTATGCCTCAAAAAATGAGATTTCGTTTGTAAAACCGAAACATTTGAATTCCATCAGTCACCAAAAAACATCCCTTTCTGAAAAAATCACAAAAAATGCAAATTAGCCATTGCAAAAATGTCTAAACAGAATGTCCTTTAGGAATAAAATGTTCCAGAGAGCATTGAAAAAATAATAGTGCTCAACACTACTATATATCCATCCTCTCTCTCCCCATGCCGCTCTCTACGTGATTAATTAAATGTAATAATTTTAAAATGCATAACTTGGTATCGTTGAGAGGTAGTAAAATTTATAATAATTTATTCTATGCAATATTTCTTATGCTTAGGTTCTTCTCAACTCATCGATCATTTTGTAGCTTTACTTTTATAAGGGATAGATGTACACATCTACATACCTTGTGGATGTAATTTAATAATATTTCTTAAGGTTGATATTGTTATATTATATTATTTTACATGCACATAGCCAAGGATCTCTCTCATTTGCTATCCATACTAAAATGAAAGCAGCGATTAATTCTGTCGTAAGTTATTACCCAACAATAAATTTTCATTGTAAATGTTTTGATAATTGAATTTTTCTCTTGATATGTCCTACTTGGCTCATTCTACCTGAACAGAATAACTTTTTTTTTACTTCAACTCTTTTTTTTTGTGTGCTCATCCTTTCCTTCTCATTTTTTTGATTCTATCTGATGGAATTGAGAAGAGAAAAATTTCATTTTTTTTTTTGTTGCTTCAACTTATTGGCGCCTTTGATTCTCGACGCTGGCATTTCATGCTTATTATATTGAAAATGCAACAGACATGTTCGCCTTTTTTTTCTTCTTCTTGTGTTCTGTTCTGTTCTCTTTTACTTATCTTGTTGAACTTTGTTTGAAACTTTCCTTTCTGTTTTTGGTGACTATGAAATGTGGATGAGAACTGAAAAGGGGTTGGAAATCTATCAAGACAAGTTGTGACATAAATTTTAAAAATTAAAGTTTTGTGAGCTGATGTGACTGAGTTTTCAATGCCAAATGGACGAAGCTTTTAAAATTATTCAATGTTGATCATCAAAGCATATCCATTTATTTATTTGGGATTTTTTGAGAAATTTTTTTTTAAAAAATCTCAAAATCATCAAATCATTCGACTTCAAGCTATGGCTGCATGCACTTATTAGCCTTCTTTGCTAGTGTCAATTCCAAGTCAACTCAACTCTTAGTTTACATCAGAATGACTGATTATTGATCGACCGAAAAACATTAAAATTCACAAACTTCTCTCAGTAAATTATTAACTTCAAGAAATCTAGATTCCAGCTTCCAAAATTCAATTCCACATCCACAAACCCAATTCCACAGATTTCCTCTTATAAATCTTTTTCCTTCTTCAATAGCCCCAACCCCTCAAAACTATATGTGTATTGATATTAAATAATTTCAGAGATTTTTCCCATTTCTAGACAGTCGATTCCTTTACACAACAAAAAAATGTATATAAGATGAAGGCAAGAAGGCAAAAAAAAAGATCTTTCAAAGACGAAATGAAATCGCATTTTCCTGGCTCATGTTTCCATCGTTTCTTATTTTTTTGTGTACTCATTTTAAGTTGCTTAAAAATGTTGGTCACAGTAAAAGGATTTTTTTTTTCATCTCTTCCTCTCTCCTTTTACAACAGAAGAATATTATGAGGGAAATTGAATCACATGAAATAGAACTCGCAGTGAATGTTAATGCAGTGTTCATTTTCTTATCAAAAATCTTTAAGAAATTTTTTGTTTTTTTTTCTTCTTTCAAAATCACAGCTGAAAAGGAAAAAAAATTGTAGGAAATGCAATTGAGAGAAAAGTTTTTGAAAATGAATATTTGAATGGATATGCATAGGAGGGTTGGAGGTAATATGACGACGACGAATATAAAATTGCAATTGAAAAGTTAAAATGAATTTTTTTCACTTACATGAATATTTTTTTATGTGAATTTTTTGATACGTGAATGAATTGAGCTGCTTGAGAATGCATGAGATGTAAGGATTTTGTTGAGGTGGCTTGAAGGAAGTTTTTGGGAGAAGATTTAAGTTGGTGGTTTTAAAGTGGAATTTAAGATGAAGTAAATGCCATGTGTGAATTAAAATGTTTTAATGCTCAGTGGTCGATTTGTTTGAGACTACTTACTGCAATGATGACCCAGCGATCCAGGGTTCGAAACTTGGCGAAGCCATATTGCTTTTTCGAGTCAAATTGATTGGAAATGAAGCCAGCAACCAGAAAATCAGCTTTGAGTATACAAAACTGAATATGGTGGCATGTGCTATATCAATTATAAATCATATAGACCTCATTGGGTTCCAAAATGTTTGATTTAGCTTCTAGTAGAAATGATCATAATATTCCTCATAGATTGTCGTTAAGCACCAATAAAACATTGAAGCTTTTGATGTAAGCTTCAAAAATAATTAATAATGACAAAAACTCTTTCAATTTACATGCACAGCATGCATCTGACCTTAAATTTCAATATTTCCCAACAATCAATTAACATTCCATTGTAAAAATTGTCCAATCCAATCACAATTCAACAGCATTTCTCCAAGAATAAAAATCATCAACAACACAGCAATTCTTCCTCAAATGACCTCAAGCTGTCATCCCGTAACACAACAAAATCTCAACTCAGCTATCACCAATTTCCATCTCAAGTCTCAAAAACTTTATTTCTAAACATTTACGACCCCCACTCCTGTCACCCACGCTTAAACGTCATTTCTTTCCTCTTCCTATGCTCTTTACATGATACGTAACAGAAAAAAATGAAACAGAAACATTGTGATATGAAGGCAGAACAAGAAAAACTCTTTCACATCACGTATTTTGATGAGAGGAGCAGTTTTTCCTCCTCATCTTATTGTTGGCGCTTTTTTTTTATTTAAAAAAATTGATTTTTACAAGGAAAAATAATATTTCCGTCTACAAAATGCATAGCACAAAAAAAAAAGCAGGAATTGAGAGAAAATAAAGAGAAGAAATGAATAAGATAAAAGTGAGCAGGAGGAGGAGATTGAGAAAAAAAAATCTTTTGTGTAAGCAAAAGCATTAAACATACAATGTATCAGTATTAGCCAACAATTTCCATCAGTTTTCTCTTGACTTCTATGCGTGGATTGTGGGGTTTAAGATGAAGTTAAAAGGAAATGACGTGGAATGAACTGAATGAGATTTTTGTGACTTATAGCTGATTTTCTTCAGAAAGGTCATAATCTGGCATGTCTAGAGTTAGGATTATTTGATTTACAATGTTTATAATTTCAGTACTCAGTCTTTGGAACTGCTAATGATTCCCAGCTTCTTGTCTTTAATGCTGTTTGTATTCATCGCATAGCACTAGTCGGTTAATCGATCAGAAATCCAGCATTAAGCCGGTGTGACTCTGGCATGGTGCTGGATTTAAATCGAAGCCAGAGCATCGTGATCGAAGCATCATGCCTGAGCCTTACCATTTTTGTGCCAGATTTATATTCGACCATCTGACTCGTGATATTCGGGTTCAGTATTGATTTTGACAATCCTAGTAATTACTAGAGCCTAGCTCAGATGCTCTGAAATACCTTCTATTAATTATATTTCCTTAAAAACCCACGGAAGTTCATTCCAAACTTACCTCAATCTCCCGCGATTCCACAATTCCTTCCTCTCATTTTTTTTATGTCTTGTGTAACACGATTCATTATGACAGATTTGCTTGGTATGATTTTTTCTGTTTTCGACAGTTTGCAGAACGTAAAATCATCAAGATGAGCAGAGTAAGTGAGTAAGGTTGAGTTGTTTTACGAGCAAGAGAGAGAGACTGAAAAGTAGCTTTACCCTAACAATTTTCATCCTCTTGTTATTGAAAAGATTGTTATAAAAAAAAAAAAATCATTTTCTTTTCTTCTCCTTCAATGATGAAAGAAAAATCCGACATAAATGCAAACAAAGCATGAAGTGAAAAAATATTTTTTAACACTTCATAAGGTGATTAGCTTCAATACGAGAAATGGAAAAGATGAGCAAAAAAAGAAAGCTGGAAGAAGATGGAACATGAAAGTAATTTGAAATGCAAATGTTGAGATGTTTAATAGCCAGTTGTTGAGGAATATTTTACCATTTCATTTACTTTGAGACGATATTGTGTAAAATGCTGGAAAATTGTTCAGAAATTGAAAGTTGGTTTTGGACTTCCGGGTGAATTTTTTGAAAATTTTATTTCGTATTTAAAATTCAAATTTGAATGAGTTTGCTTTATAAACTTAAAAATCATGAAAAAAATGAATCTACACAAATACTTCCATTCGGACCTAAATCATTTAATCTTGACACAATCGCCATATCATGCAGATCAAGTAAATCATCATTAAGAAGTGAAGTTGTTAAGAAATCAATAGCTATAAGTTGATCAACTTTTGCTCTACTTGAATTTATGCGAACGACTTCTTGATATTGCGCTCGAATTGAGCTTGATAATGAGGCAATTAATGAGTTGATTTCTGAACATGGACCGCCGCTTAAAACACCTATAAATAATGTCGAATTAAATATAGTCAACTTAGAAGCTTAAATTAATCAATTTTCTTACTCACCGGATACAAATAGCGATAAAATTAAAAAAAATCCACACAATTTTGACATTTTTTAACCACAATTAACTTTAAAACTTCAAACTTCACTTTGCAAATTTCAACTGACACGAATGTTAATAAAATATTTTACTTTATATTAAGCCATACAGCTACAAAAGAATGTCATAAAAATTTTTAATGAACATTTTGTTATTTACAATTAGAATTTTTTTGAAATTTCAAAAGTTTAAATTATTTAAGCGCATTCCATTCATATGACAGTCAAAGTACAAAGCTAGTGCTATTCGTTTATTGACTTTAAGATCATGAAAAGTCGTGATTGTTTTGTTTTATAGAATAAAATGTGATTTTGTGACAGGAGTGTTGGATTTGAGGAGTTTAAAGCTTTCTGGAGTTTTCAGGCTAAGGTTATATCCAAATTCTATGAAAATAAATTATGATAGGTTGTAGGGGAGGTCAAGGAAGCAGACATCTAGTTTGACATCATTTACTGATGAATTCCTAATTGAAGTGACACTTTTAAATCCAAAACATAGTCGACAGATCTCAGAAAACTCAACTGGATGGTCACACTACCACTGACTAAGTTCAAGTAAACTAGGAACTTAGCTTGGAGTGTTCCAAAATTTAAATCTTTTGCCTGTGCATGAGTATTAAAAGCATTGTAAGCAAATGAGCAATTACGCCTGCCATTCCACACAGAAGATTCTATTTTTACATATATAGCAATATGTCTGCAATTCCTTAATAAATATGACGATGTTGATCATGATGGTATATTGCAAAATATATTTTAATTATTCATGCAAGAACATCGAACCATAAGGAATAAAATTTTTTGTTCTTCCCCAAAAAGTGTTTTACCAATCGTCCATATATCCATTCATTTCCTACACATCCATCCGTTCCCTCCTCAGTTCCTTCTATCGTTTCTTTTTTTTCTGTGTAAATTGATGATGCATAGATTTTAATTTATATCCTTTATTGCCAATCAATTACACAAAAGCATCAGGCAAGTTGCATTGCATGTACAAAATATTCATATATTGGAAGTATTAGTCCATGAATGTGTTGGTTGTGATATCAACAATACGGGAGACTCTATCTCCTGCTCTCTTTAGATTTTGCCTTTTTATTATGCATTTTAATTACGTAAAAACATCCTTTGAGCCACAATTTGGCAATACATGAAATAACACTTTTGTTACAAAACTGTATACCGATATGTGTGTGTGTGTGTCTGTGTTCCAATGTAGCGAGTCAGTACACCATAGACAAACATTGGTAATGAATATTCAATAGCATTCAAATTAAGATTTTGATTTTTTTCCCTGAATTTATATTTTTTTTATGTTGCCGTTATTATTTCTCTCTGGATGTTGTTATTGTCTATCGAGGACATTTGATTACAAATATTATTCTCATTCCATGATTACGAGATGTGTTGCTGTTTTGTAGCTTTTTTTTTTACTGAGAGTTGTGCTTGATTTTTGGATGATTTGGATTTGATGTTTGATGCAGTTTTGGTTGTTGTGGATGATTGTAGTCAATTGTATTTAAGACGTTCTTCAAGCTTTCTTGAATCATTTCTGGCTACAAACTTACTTTCTTCATGGAATTTTATGCCCCGTAAAAAGGGGGTTAGCCTGGCTGAGCGTCACGAGGATTTTATTCATATCACTTGAAACAAATATTTCAAGCTGCTTATAATCAAAAAATTTAATTTTTAATAACATCTTAAAGTAGTTCCCTTTCCCACAATATTTTTCAGATTGACTACAAGTACATGATTTAGCCACATCGATATAAATTAAAAATCAGTTGTATTCTTGGTATTTCTGATTAACACGTAGAGTAAAAATTGTCGTGAGTTCGAATCTCAAATGAAAAGTCAAATCGAATCAAATTTGTTTAGATCATTTTTGCATGTTTTCACTTTAAACTTTTTTTTGTGCTTCTCCCTTTCAAGACTCTCCAAACCGGCTTACAATTTTCATTCTCACCTACATTTTTGCATAACATGAAATCCCATTCAATCTATCACAATGCTATGAATAAATATCAAGAATATGAAAAGAAAAAGGAATAAAAAATATCATAGCGACGCTAAGCTGCTTGAAGATCAGAAAAAAAATATCCAATACTGTTGCTCAATTAAAAACCCGCACGATGTATCGATAAATTTTAATTTCTCCTCAATTGAATATTTTTTTTATTCCTGATTTGAATTTTATTTCCAATTCCAAAATTTTTTTTTTTGAACGAGATGAGAAAAAAAAATCTAATTGATTTAAAATACTAAACGGGGCTTAAAATTAAATGACACAAATGAAATGGGAATTTTTTTCATTGAACACATAATTATGGGTAATTTTTTGTGGATGTAGATTTTGTCTATTGATACCAGGATTAAAAGTTTGTTTTGGACATGATTATACAAAAGGTTTGTTAATTGATAGATGGATTATTGTGTTGAAGGAGGGAAGGTGTGAATGTAATTATCAATTTTGTGGATTTTTTGTGTTTTTAAAAAATGGTTTTTGTGGAATTGTTTGGTGGACAATTCCAAAGTGTCACTAGTCACATAGAAAAGGCTTTGAGCTTATCTTGGTCAAATATAAATAATGTTTAATAAGGTTATGTAGACAAAGGAGTAGTTCGAATCCTAAAATATGCTGAAGGTTCAAGTTTGAGTCCTTCAAGTTCAAAACGAAGGAGCCTGACCTCTCGAGGGATATGACTCAAATAAGAAGAATGAAAAAATGGAAACTAATGTAAAAATAAATTATAAAAATTCAATTAAAATCCAAAAATAAACATAAATCAAACAATAATGAGCATTACTTTAACCCTTTCCCTTCACAGTTCCAAATAATCCAACCAAAATTATCCCCGGTAAGTCCATCAACTCATTAACACAACGTCCATTATTAAAACTGTTCATTTGTAAATTTCACAAATGGAAATTTCCACGGAATAAAAAAAAAATTCGAAAAACAAAAATTATGAACAGAAAAATAATTTTTAATCCCAACCATAAACAAAAATTTCCACAATGTAATGAATAAATCTATTTAATTACAGCATCTATTGTTTGCGTCCACATTTTTCAAACAAATCCCATTAAACATCAATAAAACTTCAGTTAATTATAAACAATTTTTTTTTTGAAAAAAAATCCATAAAGCCATGAAAAATATGAAAAATAAATAAAATTGGAAATATATTTTACAATAAACTGCAATAAAAATGTTTTTGGCGTTGTTTATTTGCTGTATTATGAAATATGCGGATGACGAAATGGGTGATAAACAGATTTCATGAGGATGAGATTGTGGCCAGAGTTGGGATTGGTGATGTAATGGATTTTTGAATCAACTATAGATTTTCGACTCTAATTGAGAACTTTTTTGACTCTATTTGAAAGCTATTATTTGAGAGCTTTCTGACTCTACTTGAGAGCTTTTTGACCTTACTTGAGAGCTTTTTGACCCTACTTGAGAGAATTTTGACCCTACTTGAGAGCTTTTTGACCCTACTTGAGAGAATTTTGACCCTACTTGAGAGAATTTTGACCCTACTTGAGAGCTTTTTGACCTTACTTGAGAGCTTTTTGTCTCTATTTGAGAACTTTTTCATCATACTTAAGAGCTTTTTGACCCTACTTGAGAGTTTTTTGACAAATTTAAGTTTTTTTGATAAAAGTTTTTTGACCAAACCAAATACTCATCCCTGCCAAAATGTCACCAAAGCTATCGCAATTTATTTCTTACACAACATATTACCAGATGAGTTACAAATATTTTCTGTGCTTTATCGTTTCTCCAGAAGAAGAAGAATAAAGAAAAACAAGAATAAGAAGCAAAAGTATCAAGCTTTGCAAGCAAAACTTTAAGCATAAAACTTTCTTTTGAAGTTTTTTTTTGTGCCATTCTTGATCGCTCAATAAATCATGGTTTAAGATAAAGTTACTGCAACTGTATAAATACATAAAGCAACAACAACATTGAGTGGGTGAAAAAATTCTGACTTGAGAGAATCTTATGCTATTTTTTATTTATGATCATGTTGTTTTTCTTTCTCGACTCAACTTCGAGAAGAAGAAAAAAAAAATCTAAACTTTTTATTGTATTGCTCTTGAGATGAGGAACGACTGGATTTGCAAAAGCTACAAAAAAAATTATTTGTAATATCAACAATTTTTCCCTTTCTACTCATGCAAAAATCTACAAAAATGGAACAAATTTAGATCATAAAGCAGGTTGTGATAAATGTTAAATGGAGTTAAACGAAATGCAATAAAATTTCTACATCCATAAATCATACGAATGATGCGATATTAACTGCAATTTTACTGCTTCTCGAGATATTAAATTCTTTGTAAAAACATGTCAAGTATTTCAAGGATGTGAATGAAATTTTATTGGTGTTGACATTTGGGCTATCGAGATTATTTGGATTTTATTTGTTGAGAATTGTTGGAATCGGAATGGAATAACTTGTGTAGGATTGAGAGGTATTTTCATAGAATTTGTGAGTTGAATAATTGTTAAATGTTTGTGTGAATCTTACTTTGTCAATGGGAATAAAATTAGATGACCATGAACTTGCTACATGCTAGATTTATTTTAATAATGTTAAATTTAAGACTTAATAAGTTTTTGAAGTCTTCTTAAAGCTTGTTTAACACTGATAAAGTACTAAAATTCTAGGTATTAGCTCTCAGCATCCTATCGACGGCCAGGAGCTTAAAAAAGTTTGTTCATAGAATGTTGAGCCCCTCCAAAATGAGAATTTATCAGCTCTCGAGTGACAAAGCCTTTGTCGAACCATCCTTCAGTCATATGTTTATCACTGCTAGGTTTAAGATTCTAAAACTTCAAAGCATTAAAGAAAGACAAGGTTAGAAGTCCAACAATTACTTTCATCTTTGAGCAACTCACAGGAAGAGTCTTACACAACACAAACCAATGAACCGCACTGTCCACAACGATTACGACACAGGCCATTTTTTCAATGAACGATCAAGATAAAAATCAATTAAAACAT